ACATATCTCTTTTTAAAGGTATTTTGTGTATTGACAGCTTTGACATTGTGGGTGATGGGGTTAAAGATTTACTTGTTGGGAGAGATGATGGAATGGTGGAAGTGTATAGTTTTGATAATACAAATGAACCTGCTCTACGATTTGATCAGGTAAGTTCATTTAAAAAGACTACATATGCTTATTATTTGTCAAATTATTATAGAGATGACAGATGGTTTGAATTTTATTATGTGAAAATATATTAAAATCTTGTGTTTGGTTTATAATATTGCTATTTTGATGTTACCAGAATCTTCTCTAGACTTCTCTTGTGTTTGAATAATAGACTCTTGCCTTTAAGCAGGATCATAAATTATTTTTATTATACTTTAAAATATTATTATAAATCTCTAAAGTAGAGATTTTGCCTTAGTTTTATTTTGCCTTAGTTTATAACGTATAATGAAACTTTGTGAGAGTAATGTTTTTATGTTTGGTTAATATAAATGAGTCTGTTGTTTTAAAATAATAAGATTTTAGAAATAAACTTTATATTGTTAGGACAGTATCGGAAATATCCTTAAGCAAAAAGAAAAAAGTAGTAGTTTCACTCCTACCCACTCAAGGGCCAGCTGTGTAAGAAGAAATACTAGATAAAAGTAATTTTAATTCACACATTTTAAATGTGATTAAGCTCATTTATGCTAAGCTATAAAGTTACATAGAGCAGCATTTTGGCATAAATTGAATCTTTTTTTTTTCATAAACTGGTGTTCTCCAATCCAGGGCTTCCCTATCCTGCCTCATGTAAGACACACTGAGGCTATTAAAGAAAAATAAAAAGAGTTCACAACTCATGTCGACTCTTTTTTTTTTTTTTTTTTTTGGTCTAATTTCTTTACCAGTGGTACCTCCCAATCCTAACTTCAACTGCAGTTCAGGAAATACAAGTGGTTTGAAGCATAGGTAAAGTATATCATATAGAAAATATAGGGATTGAGGTTATTTTGTAGATTTGTTTCAAATTTGTTCATCTTATTTTGGTGTAAAAAGTTATTTGCTAATGATGCAAGTAATAGTTTAGGCTTAGAAATACTAATCCATTGTTGACCATCTCCTGCTTTTTCTCATTAGCCCTTTGAGAAACTTTTCCTATTCAGACCCAAAGTCTCCTCTTTAACTTGTATTCTAAACCCCAGAAATGTCATAGCATTTACCTGCTCTACCAGATCTAGCACTAAGAAATCTTATCGTCCTCCTATTTCTTCCGTTTGTCTAATGACAGAGATGCTGCCTTCAGGTTATGCTTAGGCTGGGAATACTCTACCTCATCTTGGATTCACATTATCACTCTCTATGTTGCTTTCCTAATCAGGAGAATTCCTACTGTCTGACACAGTCCGGAGTGGTAGTTGGTTGATTAATCAAAAAAGATCCTTAAGGGGTGAATCATAAAGAGAGAAAATATGTACACTTTAAACATTGCATTTTAACTTAAACTTATATATTCATTTGCCAATATTTCGAGGAGGGATCAAGGTCTTTTTTTGTAAGTTTAGTTTCATGTTTTCTTACATAAACCTTACCCATACTATATTGCCCAGGAGCTCTGATTTTATGGTTATAGAATCAATTTTTTCTTTCTTTCTTCCTTTCTTCCCCTCACCTCCCCTTCCTGCCTTCCTGCCTGCCTGCCTGCCTGCTTTCTGCCTGCCTGCCTGCCCTGCCTCTTTTTTCTTCCTTTCAGAGCAGGGCTATCCCATAGGCAGTGTGCAGAGTAGCCCCAATTTCTTTTTTATAAGTACATATGATAAATGAATGTCATTAAAATATTCTATTGGCAAAAGATGTATAGAAATAAACAGTCAAAAAAGGAAATGGACAGTTTTAAAAAATTTTTTGTAAGGTTTTCCAAGTATATTGCATTAAATATACTCTTTAAAGTTGTAATTAATAGTTACCTAATAAACCACTCAGTAAGTGAGAAGGTGCGTGTTTCTATTGGTTGAATAAAACATCCTTCTGCAAGTCAGGTGATTTCCAGTGTTTTGTGTTCAGTACATTAAAGGAGGATCTAATCAAATTGTCAGATAAATAAAAAACAATTTTTTGAAGACTTTTATTACACACGATCAACTGGACACTTGTTAAAAATTCAGATATTTGGCCAGGAATGGTGGCTCACGCCTGTAATCTCAGGACTTTGTGAGGCCGAGACAGGCGGATCACCTGAGGTCGGGAGTTCAAGACCAGCCTGACCAATGTGGAGAAACATCGTATCTTAAAAAAAAAAAAAAAGTAGATATTTGAACCCACCTGTAAATGTAACTTTATGTGATTTGTAATCAAACCTTTGTTACCTGAATTTCTGAGGTAATTAGCCCCAGGAACAACTATCATAGCCTAATTTGCAGGATAGCTCAGATGTTTGCCCCCTATAGGATAGGTGAAGAGAACTAGCATTTTGTTGATTGGTTTAATGCTAGTGTCCCTTCCTTCCACCCTTTCCTTTTAAACAATGGTTCTCAGCCTTGCCTGCTAAGAGTTACCTACCAGAGTTTTTCAAACTGCTAGTCAAAACCAATTAGTGTGTTGCAGTGCAGTTTTTAAAAAAACAAAATAGAATAGATTAGAATATATCAGAGTATGACACAAACCTTTTATATACATTGCTGTATATGTTTTTGTGTGAATATATACCAGAACATAATATAAAATTTATTGCTTTCTTTCCAAATAGCTTGAAAGCCATGACCTAGAGTGTTTGTTAAAATACAGTGTCTAGCTTGGCACAGTGGCTCATACCTGTAATCCTAGCAATTTGGGAGGCTGAGGTGGCAGGATTACTTGAGCCCAGGAGTTCAAGACCAGCCTGAGCAACATAGGTAGACTCCATCTCTGCAAAAAAATTTAAAAACTTAGCTGGGCATGGTGATGTATGCCTGTTGTCCCAGCTACTTGGAAGGCCAAGGTGGGAGGCCTGAAGAGGTCAAGGCTGCAGTGAGCCATGATCAGTGTACTACATTCCAGCCTGGGCAACAGATAAATGTCCTGTCAAAAAAACAAAAAAACAGCTCCCTACAGTTATTTAAAAAAAAAAGAAAGAAAAAAATACAGATTCCTTCTGAATTCTTTTATCTGGAAAAAAGGAAAAAAAAGTAAAGAAAAAAATACAGATTCCTTGTTGACTTCCCTAAGTGGTTATCAGGCAAGTTTGGGTGCTTAAAAGATGGTTATTATAAACTCTGAGTTATCTGAAAAAACTTGCCTTCTCTCCATAATAGCAGATTTTCTAAAGGTTCCATATAGGCTGCCATGTTTTTTCTTTATCTAAAAAACTATTTTGAGAAAACACATGAGAGATGGTCTTTGGAATTCAAATAATAGACTAAACTTACAGAGTATTTTGCTTATGTAATTCAACAACAACAACAACAACAACCACAACCACAAAACTTTATATAAATAAATTGGTCGAGTGCTGTGGTTCACGCCTATAATCCCAGCAGTTTGGGAGGCCAAAGTGGGCAGATTATTTGAGCCCATGATTTGAAGACCAGCCAGGCGACATGGCAAAGCCTCATCTCTACAAAAAAATACAAAAATTAGTCCAGCATTGTGGCATGCACTTCTGGTCCCAGCTACTCTGGGGTCTGAAGTGGGAGGATTGTTTGAGCCCTGGAGGTCCAGGTTGCAGTGAGGTCAAATCACAGTGAGCTGTGATTGAACCACCTCACTTCAGCCTTGGTGATGGAGGGAGACTTTGTCTCTAAATAAATAAACTATTTTTGCTCATTAGATGAGTATTTCATTACTTGAGTGTTACCCACAAATATACTAGGGTCATTTTGAATCTTTTATCCCACATTAAAAAACACTGAAGTTTCCTGCCATTTGTTCAAGATATTTTGTCTTTCTAATCTCAGTGTTTGCACATAAGCATTCAGTAAATATATGTTCAACCTCTGGAGCCAGGGAAAATGTGTGGCATATTTTAAAAACATATCTGTGAAATTTTTTGTTACTAATGAAGTGCTTGATCTTAAATTTTTTTAGATGTTATCGGAAAGTATCACATCTATCCAGGGTGGTTGTGTGGGGAAGGACAGCTATGATGAAATCGTGGTGTCCACATATTCAGGTAAAGTAAATGATAGTAGGTAATTGAAGAAAGAATCAGCAACAAAAAAAATCTAAATTTAATAGACTGCTTTTGATGACTCTTTTTAAGAAAGAGTTATAGTAGTCCCCCCTTATTCATTGGGAATCCATTTCAGGACCCCCAGTGGATGCCTGAAACCTCAGATAGTGCTGAACCCTATATATTATGCTTTTTTCTGTACCTACATGCCTATGATAAAGTTTAACTTGTAAGTTAGGCATAATAAAAGATGAACAATAATAACCAATAATAAAATAGAGCAATTATAACAATATGCTCGCACCACTACTCTTGTGCTTGGGGCCCTTATTAAATAAAGCAAGGTTGCTTGATCACAAGCACTGTGATACTACAACAGTTGATCTGATAACTGATTTGGCCTCTAAGTGACCAACAGGCTGATAGCAGGTATCACATACAGCAGGCGATATGTTGGACAAAGGGATGATTCACGTCCTGGGCAGAATGGAGCAGGATGGCATGAGATTATATCACCCTATTCAGAGTGTTGTACAATTTAAAACTTAGGAATTGTTTCTGGAATTTTCCATTTAATATATTCAGACCACCATTGCCTATGGGTTACTAAAATGTAGAAAGTGGAATTGTGGTTAAGGGGAGGCTACTGTATTGGTCGGTGACTCTTACCTACAGCATTAAAAACTTCATTAGTTAAAAAATAAGGAGAAAGTATAGGCCTCAATTTATAAAATAGTTGATACTTGAATGATACTTTTTAGAGTGTTTAGCATGTCACTATTACCTTTAAATATTAAATGATATTCTTTGATTTAAAGAGAAGTACTTATTGAGATTTACTTCATGTTCTAGACTATGTATATGTCTTATAAAAACTTCCTTTTTTTTTTTTTTTCCAGACAGGGTCTCAAAAAACTTGCCAAAACTTGTTTTTGAGTTGGTAATTTTTGCATTCTCATAGTAATGTGAGAGTTTAAATTTCCATGAAAGTACTATTTATTTTATTTTATTTATTTATTTATTTATTTATTTATTTTTGAGACGGAGTTTCACTCTTGTTACCCAGGCTGGAGTGCAATGGTGCGATCTCGGCTCACCGCAACCTCCGCCTCCTGGGTTCAGGCAATTCTCCTGCCTCAACCTCCTGAGTAGCTGGGATTACAGGCATGCACCACCATGCCCAGCTAATGTTTTGTATTTTTAGTAGAGACGGGGTTTCATCATGTTGACCAGGATGGCCTTGATCTCTTGACCTCGTGATCCACCCGCCTCGGCCTCCCAAAGTGCTGGGATTACAGGCTTGAGCCACCGCGCCTGGCTGAAAGTACTTTTTAAAAGGCAATTCTTATTTTTCAGCTGTTTTTGAAATTGCCAGAATATGTTGACTTATTCCATACTTTAAATCTGTTAAGAAATAAAAGATTCCCTTTATTATACTATTATAGTATTTCAGGCAAAAAAAAAAAAAATGGTATCACCAAATGCTTAAGTAATTTCTCTGTAGTCTGAATATTTTCCAGCTTGACTCTATGTTTTGTTTTGTTTTTGAATGAAGTCCTAGGGTTACGTCTGGTTGATATTAGTGGACAGAGGGGCATGTACATGGGAGTTTCTGCTACACAATGCATAATTTTTCTTTTTTAACACCAGCAGTACTAAGTGGTGCCTAATTATAATTCATCTCTACAGGCTGGGTTACAGGTCTGACAACAGAGCCCATTCATAAGGAAAGTGGACCAGGAGAAGAACTGAAAATTAATCAGGAGATGCAGAATAAAATTTCTTCCTTAAAGTAACTTTTTTTTTAATTTCCTTTTTTAAAAAATTTCCTGAAGTGTGTGGTTGTTGCTTTTTATTACTTATAGTTGCAGTATATTTTATTGGAAGGAATTATATAATTAATTAATCACCTTTTAAAATGAAAGTTTATGGTTTTGAGAAAATTAGCAGTAGTGCAGGTTAATATTTTGCAGATAGAAATACACTTTTTTATATGCTTTATTCTATATTGACTTTTTCTTAGGTCAAGAGTTGTATTTTTCATCATAGACTCTGGTAGTGTTTTATTTTTTGTTTTTCACAGACATTAGTAATAAATCAACACAGATGGCTGTATTGTTTCTCATTAAAGCTGATGTTTACTGTTCCTGCGGACCCTTCTGAATCTGTAATGTTGGCTTATAAATTTTCTTAACTGGAACTGAGTAATGCTTACTCCCCTAGACACAGGCATTGCTTTTATGGTCTGCTCAACTTGATACGTACTGTGAAAAGGGACCCCAGATTCAAATAAAGATGCTTCATGCAATGAAGAAGTAGGAGTTGCTGAAACCTTTAATGACCGCTCTCCCCGTTTCAACCCATGCTGACCTTCCTGGAGTGAGGGATGATCTTTTTTTTTTTTTTTTTTTTTTAAGAGACAGGGTCTCGCTTGTTGCCCAGGCTGGAGTGCAGTGGCTATTCACAGGCGCGATCCCACTACTGATCAGCACGGGAGTTTTGACCTGCCCCGTTTCCGACCTGGGCCGGTTCACCCCTCCTTAGGCAACCTGCTGGTCCCCCGCTCCCGGGAGGTCACCATATTAATGCCGAACTTAGTGCGGAAACCCGACCGGCATAGCGTACTGCAGCCCAGAACTCCTGGGCTCAAGCGATCCTCCCACCTCAGCCTCCTGAGTAGCTGGGACTACAGGCACAAGCCACCACATCCGGGGAGGGATGATCTTTTTTTTGGTAGTAGTTGAAGGCTACCAAACTTTTAAGGCAGCAAATGCCACAAGTACTAGTAGCACAAGCTGTTTCACCAAAGCCACCAGAGAGCAAGCTATAATGCAAACAAGGATACTAAGTATAGTTAATGACTACTCTCACATTCTCAATACAGTACCTTTTATTTATAACCAACTCTACTGTCTCTTGATTCCACTGGAATGTAAACTTTATGAGAAGCTTATGTCTGATTTGTTCATTTGCTTCCCAAACACATCGGAGTAAATATGTAAAATTTAGCAGTAAATATTTCTTTGATGAATGAATCTTTTCCTTTGTTCTTTGCACAGATTCCTTCCAAGCTCCTCCCCAGACTTTTCCTCATAAACTGTGGCCAGTTAAGCCTCATGTTGTTCTATCCCAATGACTGTTTACTTCATTTGCATGTGGTGTTTCCCCTTAACTGGAGATCTAAGCAATACCTGTGTAATTCAGTCTCAGCAGAATCCTCTCCAACACTTGGTAGTTAAGCTGTAACACTGGCTCATGAACATCCTTGTGGTACCCAAAATGTTAATGCTCTGCAGCTTCCTTTTATTTTTTATGTCTCTCCTAATGTCTTACTGAAAGTTACATGTTTACTGGCTTCACACATTTTGTCTTTTTTCATTAAGTCTAATATGTTCTGCAGTATTAGTTTCTCTTCTTATTAGTATAAGTTTCTCTTCTGATTAGTACTTTATGTAACTATAACTAGATTCCTGTGTTTGATTGCTAGTATGGGACTGAGTAGATGTTTTAATTTTTAGGTTAAGGATAAATAATGTGGAACCATTTGGTCAGTCAGAGAAGCAAAATTTTTGTTCCCTTTATTTTTATTTTATTAGCTCAGCCAATAAAAACACATTTTGCAAAAGCAAATGTCTCAAATTTTCATAAACATTCTAAGGACCTCAAATGTTTATACTTATATTTGACAAATTTGTGTATGTTTTACTCCAGAAATGAGTTGGAGCATCTGCAATATAAGGTATTACAGGAAAGAGAGAATTATCAACAGTCTTCTCAATCAAGCAAAGCAAAATCAGCAGTACCTTCCTTTAGTATAAATGATAAATTTACACTAAATAAAGATGATGCCAGTTACAGCCTTATCTTAGAGGTACAGACTTCAATAGATAATGTCTTAATACAGGTAAGCAAAACGTCTAATTTCTTAGTTTTATGGCTGGATCTATTTTGCAAACCAGTCACATGTACAAATTATTATTGAACATTTTTAGTTTTAGACAGTACTTTCTATTTTATTTTATTTATTTATTTATTTTTGAGACAGAATCTTGCTCTGTGACCTAGGCTGGAGTACAGAGGTGCAATCTCAGCTCACTGCAACCTCCACCTCCCAGATTCAAGTGATTCTCCTGCCTCAACCTCTTGAGTAGCTGGGACTACACATGTGTGCCACCACATCTAGCTAATTTTGTATTTTTAGTAGACACAGGGTTTCACCATGTTGGCCAGGCTCGTCTCGAACTGCTGACCTCAGGTGATCCACCTGCCTCAGCCTCCCAAAGTGCTGGGATTACAGGCGTGAGCACCCCACCCAGCCATAGACAGTAATTTTAAATGTTTATGCCTTTTTTACCTTCCTTTAGATAATTAGTTGCTCATCAATTATTTGAATTATATTTTTATTTTTATTTATCATGTACTTAATAAACAAAAGATGGACTTAAGTTTTAGGAAATGGTAGAAAAGACAGGTTTTTCTTCTTTGGCCACCCTCTGGGAGAATCTTCAACAGAGAGATGACTTAGAAAACTCCCATATTTAATGCCCTTGCTAGAAATTTTTTTTTTATTTTTTGAGACAGAGTCTCACTCTGTCCCCCAGGCTGGAGTGCAATGGCATGGTCTCGGCTCACTGCAACCTCCACCTCCTGGGTTCAAGTGGTTCTTCTGCCTCAGCCTCCCAAGTAGCTGGGATTACAGGTGTCCACCACCATGCCCAGCTAATTTTTGTATTTTTAGTAGAGACGGGGTTTTACCATGTTGGCCAGGCTGATCTCAAACTCCAGACCTCTTGATCCGCCTGCCTCAACCCCTGAAACTTTTTTTTTAAGCCCCAAACATTAAAGTACAGCTTGCTCATTAACCCACTAGTTTTTGGTAGGTCAACAGGCAAAGTAGAAAATCCTAAAGTGTGAAATTTAGGGATAATAATGTAGACTCCATTCATCAATGTATATATTTACTTATTTAAATTGGAAGGTATTGAGGAAGTAGAAAAGAATGATAGGATGAATAGAAAACAAACAAAGGGCAGTAAACCAATCACGAAATGAGAACATAACAAATTGGAGGAAGAAAAAGTTTAAAAAGATATAATGGAGAGATCAAATTATTAATTAACACTTAAAGGCAGAAAACTCTCAAGTAATGCTAGCTCCCGGGCTGCTGCATTGAACAACTCTAGGAATGCCATTCACATAGAACGTAGTGTAACAACTTTGTCCTACAAACTACCTTTCCAGAAGATACCAAAAATTATCTTCTTTCTGTGTTATAGGTGAAATTGAAATTGATAAAAATGAACTGATACAATCAGAATGGCTATGTGATTATTTATAGCTCATGTTAACATTTTTATCACTTTACAAAAATAGGTGGGACAACTAGACTTTTAAGGGAGTGGTAAGAGATGATATTCTGTAATTTTTGTAATCCAAGTTAGAAAAAAACGGGTGATTATAAAATAATATTTGTTCTTCATAATATTTATTTTCTAGAAGTATATACTATCAAATATAAATTAAGAGAATTCATACTCTCAAATTAAAGATGAGTATAAACTAGAACTAAGGAGAACTGTTAGAGAAAACACAATTTCTGAACATTTTTAGATTTTCCATCTCAACCTTCTTTTTTTTTTTTTTTTTTTAATATCAACCATAGAGTGATGTTCCAGTAGATTTACTTGATGTGGATAAAAATTCTGCTGTTGTTAGCTTTAGCAGCTGTGATTCTGAGGTGAGTAAAAAATATAAAAGAATTCTTCACCTGCTTTCCTTTCTAATATGCCATTTTGATTAAAGTCTATAAATGCTGCTAGGTTTTGATATTTCTTTTTCAATCGTTTCTTACATAACCTTTCCTTCAAAAATCTGTGTTGGTTCTCTTTCCCTATCTTCAGTCAAGAAACCTGGTGTTGTCCTAGATTCCTTCTTTTCTGTGATCTGTTACAGGTCGATATCCCTTATGTGAAATGCTTGGGACCAAGAAGTATTTTGGACTTCAGATTTTTTTCATATTTGGGAATATTTGTATTATACTTACTTGTTCAGCACCCCAGATTTGAATATCTAAAATCTGAAATGCTCCAATGGGCACTTCTTTGAAGTATTACCTTGGCACTCAACAAATTTAGGGTTTTGGAGTATTTTAGATATTCAATTTGGGGATGTTCAACCTATATATCCAATTAGTCACTAGTTTCTGTCAGTTCTACCTCCGTGGCTTTCATACTTCTACTTGGGTTCATTCCTACTCCTGTGAACTTAGTCCAGGCCCTTATCATGTGTTACTTAAACTACTTTATAGGTTTTGCTGCCTCAGCTGGGTACGGTGGTTCACACCTGTAATTCCAACACTTTGGGAGGCTGAGGCGGATAGATTGCCTGAGGTCAGGAGTTTGAGACCAGCCTGGCTAACAGAGTAAAACCCTGTCTCTGCTAAAAATACAAAAAATTAGCTGGGTGTGGTGGTGGGTGCCTGTAATCCCAGCTACTAGGGAGGCTG